CAAAGTGTAATGAAAAGTCAGGCCTAGTGGGCTTCAGAAAGACCTCCAAAATGTGACACTGAGCTGCGTGAGGCGGGTGAAGGGGTGGAAGGGCGTTCCAGCCAAAGGGAACGGCATGTTCAAGGCACAGAAGCCGGAAAGGTCCTGGTGTGTCTGAGGAACTGAAGTAAATCAGTTTGGAGTAAAAGGCATTTGTGGGCGTGTGGCCGAAGAAGTAAGCAGAAGTCAACTTGTCAAGAAGGGCCTTTAGGCAAGACAGGAAAAAGCCCAGATTTGTGTTACAGAAGAATCTCTGGTTGCCATGAGGAAGAGGGATTGAAGAGGAAGAGTTAGGAGCCTGTTGCAAAAGGACGGATGAGAAACGCTGCTCCAAACCTGCAGGGCGGGTGGGACGGAAGCCTACCCTTTCAGAGCTGGCCTGTTACCTTCGCTCTTGGCAGTGGGCTTGCCTTTGAGCACAGCCCTTCCTGTCACTGGCCTTGATAGTATTTACCTGAACACTGTTTTTGTGAATTGGGACCCTGCCCCCAGCAGTGGGACAGCGGAGTGGAGGAAGAAGGAAGAGCCTAGAAGGCAGGTTCTGGGCGCCCGTCCGACTTCCTCTTCCAGGGATGGTGGCGTGATGTCCCTTTTACTCTGCCCTCTTTTTTCACTTGGTGAGACCTTACCTCTGTACATGCCTGGCCAGACTGCTTGCAGGAAGGGAGGGAAGTAGTGCTGGGATTCATTTGTCTGTCTGTGGAGGTAGGATTGATGGGTGTAGTTACTCCTGGTGCGTCCATGGCTTTATCTGGAATGGGAGGCCGTGTGGGTGGAGAGGAATATTCTAGGTATGCATTTCCAGTCCTTCCTCTGTCACTGGGTAGGATTATAAATTTGTGTGTGTCTGTGCCGGTCCGTCTTGTGTGTCTGTTTGCCTGCGTGACAGAGCCTTTATTCTTGTCAGCCAGCCCTTGAGAATGTCTGTGGGTGTTTGGTGACTCTCGCTGTATCTGCTGTGTGTGCACCTATGTGATATGCACACAGATGGCGGTGGAGCTGAGGGGTTAGGGGCACGAGGCTGCTTAGGTTGAGGCTGGGAAGTGCATCTTAGGTGCCATATATTACCTCAGGTAAGTTACTTAACTTTTCTAGGCCTGTTTCCTATAAAATGTAAATTTTGTGGTTTAACATAGTGTATAGTATATATAAACCAGCCCTGTCTAACACAAATATAATGCATGCCACATATGTAATCTTTAATTTTTCTTTTTTAATCCTCACCGAGGATATTTTTTCCATTTATTTTTTTAGAGAGAGTGGAGGGGAAGGAGAAGGCGGGGAGGAGAGAGAGAGAGAAACATCAATGTGAGAGACACATCGATTGGTTGCCTCCTGCACATGCTCCATCCGGGGTTCAAGCCTGCAACCAAGGCATGTGCCCCTGACCGGGAATCAAACTCATGACCCTTTGGTCCACGGGCCGATGCTCTAACCACTGAGAACCCGGCCAGGGCTGTAATTTTTATTTTATTTTAGTATTTATTTATTTATTTGGGGGGGGGGCTGTAATTTTTAATTTTTTGGTAGCTACATTGAGAAAGGTAAAAAGTAACGGGGTGAAATTAATTTTAATATATTCTATTGAACACAAAAGTTTGTAATTGCAAAATGTAATCAATATAAAAGGTTATTAATGGAATATTTTACATTCTGTTTTTCATTCGAAGTTTTTTGAGATCTGATGTGCATTTTACATTTCCGGGCGTCTCAGTCTGGACTAGGCACAGTGCGCGTGCTCAGTGGCCATATGTGGCTGGTGGCTGCTGGATGGACAGCGCAGGTGTAGACCCTCACCAGCTACTAGTGTTAGCTCTCCTTTTATTGTCCTTTTATCATCACACATCTGCTTCTTGCGGAAGCACATGCCTCATATCTCTTGTGCATCTGAAGATATCTGGGCCTTCAGAGAGAGGGGCGGGAGGCCAGTCCCGAGCTCCCCTGCCCCAGCTAGAGGCTTCCTGAATGGGTTTCGATGGGAGCCCTGGCCCCATCTTGTCTCCTGCCTTCTGCACCTCACCCGCCCCGCCCCCCTGTAGGAATCAGGCCCACTGTCCCTCGCCCCAATCCCTGCAGGTGACCAGAATGGACCTGTGGCCAGGGGCATGGACGGTGCTGCTGCTGCTCTTCCTACTGCTGCTCTTCCTGCTGCCCACCCTGTGGTTCTGCAGCCCCAGTGCCAAGTACTTCTTCAAGATGGCCTTCTACAACGGCTGGATCCTCTTCCTGGCTGTGCTCGCCATCCCCGTGTGTGCCGTGCGAGGACGCAATGTCGAGAACATGAAGTGAGGCCCAAGGGGTGCTGGGTGCTGAGGGAACCTAAGGGTCGGAGCAGTGTTTGGGGAGGACATGGGTGTGTAGGAGAGACTGAAAGAGTCCAGGGACAGGAAGGGGGAGGATTGCAAAGATGCGGGAAAGAGGGGAGCTGAGGCATGCAGGCTGGCGTCAGTGGATCCCCCTGGAACCGCCTGCCGTGACACCCCATAGGATCTTGCGTCTGATGCTGCTCCACATCAAGTACCTGTACGGGATCCGCGTGGAGGTCCGAGGGGCTCACCACTTCCCTCCCTCACAGCCCTACGTCGTGGTCTCCAACCACCAGAGCTCCCTCGACCTGCTTGGTGAGACCCTCCTAGAACGCACCTCCCCAGCCATGCCCTTCCTCTTGGAACCTTCCCCAGAATCTTCTCCCGGAGGTGCTCACCTGCCCCTCAGCTGGGACGTGGCTGTCTTTCCCTCATAAGCAGGGTGGTAGGCCTTTAGTCACCCTTCCCTCCACTTGGGTCTTCCCTGGCCCTGCCCCCCAGTCTCCCTCTTCCTTTATATCCAGGCCTTAGTAGCATAGGGATGACCTGGGTGAAGTGGGCCACCTCCGCCCTGATGCTCACCCCACCCTTACCTGCCCCAGGGATGATGGAGGTACTGCCCGGCCGATGTGTGCCCATTGCCAAGCGGGAGCTGCTTTGGGCTGGCTCTGCCGGGCTGGCCTGCTGGCTGGCCGGAGTCATCTTCATCGACCGGAAGCGCACTGGGGATGCCATCAGTGTCATGTCTGAGGTTGCCCAGACCCTGCTTTCCCAGGACGTGAGTCACCCTGGGGACGAGGGGGTGGTGTATATGGAGAAGAACAGTTGTAAAGAAACGGACAGGCAGGGTCAAGGGGACACAACTGTTCTGCGACCCTCCACGCATGTGTCTTCTTCGGCAGGTGCGGGTCTGGGTTTTTCCTGAGGGCACAAGAAACCACAATGGCTCCATGCTGCCCTTCAAACGCGGCGCCTTCCACCTGGCAGTGCAGGCCCAGGTGATGCCGCCTCCCCTTCTGCTGCTGAGCCCAAGCCCCGCCCCCTTCCCCTCTGGTGGAGCACCACAGGGCCTCAGAAGGGAGTCCAGGGCTGATGGCTTTTCCCTTCCCCAGGTTCCCATTGTCCCCATCGTCATGTCCTCCTATCAAGACTTCTACTGCAAAAAGGAGCGCCGCTTCACTTCGGGTGAGGCTCTGAGCAGCCCTGGGGGTGGGGACCAGAAAGGTCATGGCAGAGGCTAGAGGGACGTCCCCATAGGGCAGGGCAGTGAGTGTCAGAGCTGGGAAATGTACACAGGGTCACCTGCCAGGAGGTGATGAAGCACCACCATGAGAGGCCGTTACTGTCGGGCAGGAAAGATCAGGCCTGTGTGTGCGGAGCTGGAACCCTCGGCAGGACATGCTAAACCCACGGGGGGGGGGGGGGGGGGGGGGCGCGAGTCTGGACTGCGGTTTGAGGAAGGCTTCATGCAGGAGGGCCTCAAGGACCAGGTGGCATTTGGCAGGCAGAGGGGCAGTTGTCCAGGGTCGGGAAAAGAGCCCTAAGAGGTTCGGAGAGGAGTAGCAGGAGCTCAGAAACTGGGCCCCACACGGGCAAAGGCCTGGCTGGACAGGCCCTGACTGCTCCCCCCTCCCAGGGCGATGTCAGGTCCGGGTGCTGCCCCCAGTGCCCACAGAAGGGCTGACACCAGATGACGTCCCAGCTCTGGCCGACAGAGTCCGGCATTCCATGCTCACCATTTTCCGGGAAATCTCCACTGATGGCAGGGGTGGTGGCGACTATCTGAAGAAGCCTGGAGTCGGCGAGGCCCGGCTCTGAGTTCCCTCCATCTTCCCCCTCCACACACCTGCCAGCCAGTGGGTTCTGACGCAGGACCAAGCCCTCTTCCTCGTTCCCCCTCTCCCTACTCAGCCTCCTCTTTGGAGTCTTCAGCTTCTGAAGTGAATGTCTGCCCCTTCCCAGCTCCCCCCATGGACTCTCTTGCCTCGGTGCAGTCTCCACTCGGACCCTCCCCGCCTCCTGCACCATGAGTCTGTGGGACGTCGCCTCCCCCTCATCTCCAGTGCTCAGCCTCCACGCGGTGGGAGCACTCCATCCTGTCCCAGGGGACCTCCTTCCTGTGTGGTCTCTCCCTCCCCCCGACGTTGGCCAGCGGACTCATCCATTCTGTGGAACAATTCCCCCCACCTCCACGCCCGTGGATTCAGCGGGCGCATCCGTTTGCCAGGAGGACTCCTCATGCTGTGCCTGGAAGCTGGTGCCTGGAACACCTCCCAGGCTCCTCCTGGGAACACTCCTCAGCAACTCCACCCTCCCTCCCCCGGAGCCTCCATCAGGGGAGGCTGGACTCTTCTCACTCCGAGGTCTCATTCCTGCCGGGCCCAGGTGCCCAGGACTGAGCAACTCCTGGATGCCAGTTTGGTCTTCACATTTCTGCTTCCCCTTCCCCGTGCCGGCCCCACCCACCCCCTCAGCCCTGGGGTACATTCTGAAGAGATGGGAAGTGCACTGCAGGGGCTGCACTCAGGCTCCCTGGCTGGAGGGGATGGAGGGCTTTTAATTTATTTCTCTTTCTTTGGAGGTTTCCCCCTTTGAGCCAGTTTTCATTTCCTCCCTGTGGCATTAGCCTCCCATCCTCCCATCCCAGACCTGTGCCTACAACAGGGAGGGGCTGGGAGCAAAGGAGGAGGGTGGGACTCAGTTTTTCATGGTTGGTTTTTATTAATTATCTGGATAACAGCAAGGAACCAAGAATAAAGATTGAGAGATCTGGACACTGGCTGCCTTGGTTAAGTTGAAGAAGCAGTTCCCACCCCAGGGAGTGTGCGGAGACCTCGGCCTCCTTAGTGGCAGGTGACTTGGCTGCAGCTCCCCAGCTGGCGAGTCCCAGGGGTTAGCGGGTCCAGCTTCTGTATGAAGTAGGGGCAGGGCTCTGCAGAGGTCCTCATGGCCGCCCCTTGGGGCCTGGGCTCAGGCTGTTGTCCTCACAGGAGCCTGGTCAATGGCAGGAGAAGGCAGACCTGGGTCTGTGGCCGCCCCAGCGGAGCGGGTGTGAGTCCTGGGGAGACTGGCGCTCCCCCAGCCAGCGAGGCCGCCAGTCGGGGCGGTGAAGGGG